ATCTTGACGTGGGCCACTGTTGCTAGAGCTTCTGGAGTAGAAGAAAGTAGTCATGCAAGTAGAGCAACAAGTTCACGCTCAAAGGCACAACCGAGGATATCTAAATCATCAACATTGACTCCACTTCAATTAATAGATGAAGAGGAAGCGGGCTCAGATGACACAGAGGAGGAAGATGTTGAGGGATATAAATCAACTGATGGAGAAGAAGATGATAGTTTGCTTGCCATTGATGTTGAGGATGATGATTGACTGACACCGACCTAACCTACCCTTTCTTTTGATATTGATGTTTTCAAGTGTTAAGACATATATTAATATTTGTTGGATATTTATGTTTTGGATGCTGCTGTTTGGTAACGTTTACGTTTTCAGTTATATTTTACAAAAATTTTATAAACTGGTTTTTGTATTTTTAGAAAACATAAACTACAAACGCGTTTGGTAATTAACAAAATGTTTAAAAAATTTTAAAAATATAAAAAAGAGCAGAAATAGCAAGTGGTGGCGGAAGATGGTGGTAGAAAGTGGTGACGGTGGTAGAAAGTGGTGGGAGTTGGTGGTGGTGGTGGTGCGGTGTGGTGGGTGGTGGTGACGGTGGCGGGTGGTGGATGGTAGCAAGTGGGTGGTGGCGGGTGGTGGGTGGTGGTGGCAGATGGGTGGCGGGTGGTGGTGACGCGGCGGGTGGGTGACGGCGGCGGGTGTGGTGGCAAGTGGGTGGCGGGTGGTGGTGGTGGTGGTGGTGGGTGGTGGACGGTGGCGTGGTGGGTGGTGGTGGCGGTGGCGGCGGTGGTGTGGTGGGTGGGTGGGTGGGTGACGGTGGCGGGTGGTAGGTGTAGCGAGTGGGTGGTAGTGGGTGGTGGTGGTGTGGATGGTGGTGGGTAGGTGTGTGGTGGGTGGGTGGTGGCGGGTGGCTGGTGAGTGCTGGTGGCAAGTAGATGGCGGGTGGTGGTGGCGGGCGGTAGATGGTAGTGGGCGGGTGGATGGCAGGTGGTGGTGGCGGCGGTGGTGCGGTGAGGGGTGGATTGGTGGGGCGAGTGGTGGAGGTGGTGGTGGGTGGTGGTGGTGGTGTGATGGTGGCAGGTGGGTGTGAGTAGTGGTGGCAGGTGATGTGGGTGGGGTGGGGTGGGTGGCCAAAGATGGTGGTGGAAAATGGTAGCGGGTGGTGGCTAGTGTTGGGTAGTAAAAAAAAAAAAAATTTCAAAACTCAAAACGGAAACACATTTTTTGTGTTTTCATTTTTTGGCCAAATTTGTAAACTGAGACCACTGATTTTTAAATCTAAAATTTTACCAAACAAGTTTTTGTTTGAGTTTTTAAAATTTTTGTAAATATAAACAAAAAACTGAAAACGTAAGTGTTATCAAACGACAACTTAGTGTTTAAGTTTTTATTTTTATTTTATTGAATGTGGATTATTTGATCTTTGAAAATTGGAATGTTATGTAATATGCACTTTCATGGCTTTGAGAATTATTCTATATTTTGTCTTGAATCTTGAATCTTGATTATTTTTTATTTTTTAAAAAATTGTCTTAGTACTATGAATGATTAGTCTATGTTAATTTTCCTATTTTTTACGAAGACTGTGCGCCTTACTTCAATAAAGCCCGCGCCTCGCCTTGCGCCTAGGCCTAGGAATGGAAACGGGGCGGGGCGGGGCCGGGATCACCCTCCCCGTCCCCGATCCCCGAAACTACAAACTTCCCCGTCCCCGGCACCGATCCCCGGTGGGGAACCCCTTACCCTCTCCGACCCCGCCCCCAACAGGGGTCGGGTTTCCCCGACCCCGGAAAATCCCCGTCTCTGTTTAGCTTATCATCATCAACAACATTATCTATTATCAACACCAACATCATCGATCATCAACAACATCATCTTCATCAACGGTAACATCATCAAAAAAAAAAAAAAGACAGATCTGGTAGGAGGGAGGAGCCGAGCCGACGGATCTTCTCAGATCTTCTCAGATCTGACGGTGGCCTTGCGGAGAAAGACGGCCACGAGAGGCGACGGGAGGAGGCTGCGAGAGGCGTAGGAGGAGGAGGAGGAAGCGACGGAGAGGCGGCAGTGGCCTGGAGGAGGAGGGGGAGGCGGTGGTGGCCTGGAGGAGGAGGAGGCGACGAGAGGAGCCGACTGCGTTGCGTAGCGTCTGTGAGAGAAGAAAGAGAGCGAGAGAAGAGAGACAGATCAGAGAGAAGAGAGAGCAGAGATATATAATAGATTAGATCAGGGATTTGATATATAATATAATAATAGATATAAGGGGATTTGATATATAATATAATAATAGATATATAATAGATTAGATCGGGGAGAAACGGGGTGGGGAACGGGGCCGGGGCTGGGGCTGTGAAAGTGATCCCCGTCCCCGGCCCGAATTTGATCGGGGATTCAATTTTAAATACCATCCCCGGCCCGTCGGGGGTATTTTTCGGGGAAAAACTACTCTTATCGGGGACGGGGGGTCGGGTCCCCGTCGGGCCGGTTTCAAATTGCCATCCCTACCTAGGCCCCGAGAGACCTTCAGTGCCTTAGTGCGCCTTGAGCCTTTAAAAACTCGGGTCCTCATGGTCACGCTTTGTTCCCATCCCATCTTCTCTTGGATGGGTTATGCCAATTATGGTTGAGAACTTAATCAGTTGTTTCAAGTTTTAGTTTTCATCATGTTTTTTTACTATTTTTCTTTTTCTCAAAGTTTATGCAAGATCTGATGTTTGGAACAGTGTTTATCTTTTATTTTCCCCCTTCTCTTGCTGTTCAACTGCCTTGCAATTTGAGAAAAGGGATTTCCCCTAGATTACTCTTGTTTGGAAGTGACACTTGGTTTTCACGGTAAATCATGAACCAGCCTTTTTTTTTTTTAATATTTTTTTGTCCCTTCTGATGGGTCTTCTCATATGTTGAGGGCTGAAGCGAAAATAAAAGACCAAACACTGTCAAATCATGAACCAGGCCATTTTTTTGCTGAGGGCGGGGTCTTCTCATATGTTGAGGAATCTTATAGTTTTGGAGTGGAGTTAGATCTTTGAAATATAAGAAGTAGAATTTCAAGAACGATGGGCTGTTTAGTTGTGCTAAAGAATAATTTTTGGTAATGGGTGTAAGAAATTTTTGGCAAAGGAAGTTGAGAAGGTGGTTTTTGTGGAATGTTTGAAAGGTTATATTTTCTGATGTCGAGCTTTCATAAATGAAAATAGGGGGGTATTGGACCTCCTAAAACTGGTTGCTTCATAAAATCAGATCTCTTAATTGTCCTAATCTTCTTGCCCAACTGCAGTGGACTTCATTTTATGTAGTATTGTTTGTTATGGGATTTGAGTTGTCAATGTCTAGTTTTTATCCAACATTGTTCAAGCCAAATTACAGCCATTCTTCTTCCACATTGTTGAGAGATTTTCTGGAACGGTTCATCTGGTTTATTACTCTTTTAGAAAAGCATGTTAGTGATGCATGATGTTTAAAGGTTTCAATAAAAATATACAGCTTTTAGTGCAATTTATTAGAGGAGATGTCAATCCTATAAGTGGGATCCCTTGGTTAATAGCCAGGAGTTGTTCTTGATGAAAGGATGTGTGGTGCCACCTTCTGTTGTTTTTGTGCATATTGAAAGCAGACAATTTTTTTGTACAGCTAAATAATTGGTTGCTTTAAAAAGCCTAGATACCTTGTGAGCAAAACAGCCACGCTTACGCACGCGCATGGATAGAGAGATGGAGAGAGAGACATATCATTTGGTTAGAGTGGATGATGAATGATTTATGTTGCTTATAAAGGACAATGTTTTATCAATTCTATACCAGTAGCCTTTTTTTTTGTTTCCAAATATGTTTTCAATTCAATCTTTTTGGCATGAAATTCCCTCCCCCATTTAACATGCACACATCTGTTAACTTCTAGTAGATTCTTTCAGTTATTCTTGAGGCTGGGCCTTTTAATCGGCATTCGGAGAAATAACAAGTAAATGAACTTGGAGGGAATGTGAGAAAATTCTGTTGCCTTGCAAGTATGCCAACTGTGGGTTACATTTAGTAGCTAGTAGACTCTGTGTTATCGTTTCATGGAATCGGTTACATATGTTTCTGATAAGGCAAGATTATGAGTAATTGCATCAATTATACTGATTCCTCTGGTTATTTGCAAGTTCTTGGTATAGTTGAATTTTATGATCATTTCTCAACTGAGTTGAAGAGTTGGCTAATGAAGACCACTCTTAAATGTGGGTTCTTGTTGTAGTCCTTCGTTTGAGCTTCATTACATGCAGTGCTGCTACATTGGATAGTCCATAACATAAAGGCTATTTTGAACACCTTGCATTAAGACAAATACCTCAAGTCAAGATTACATCTCGTTACTCAATATGAGGATAATTCTTTCATTTGTCTCAATTTTTACCTCTCCTTGATGTTCTACTATGCACTGCTTGTATGAATTCTTAGATTCTCGCTCCTCTTTTTAGCTTTTTGTTTTTTGTCCACAATTTTCCAGTATTGTACCCAGTAAATGGTTGCCTGGACTCTTTTTTGTGTGTTTATTTTTATTTATTTTTAATTTTTTTGGGTAAGATGTGTGTGTGTGTGTGTTTTACTTAAATGAAAATGTAATTTTCTTTTGGGGTTCTCTTGTAAAGTCTTCCTCCTAGGTACATGTCACATTTTTCTTGTACTTTTTGGTTATCTTTGTCCAGTGCTCTGTAGCAACTATAAAATTTTGATAACATCCTCATTTAGCTTTACAAATTATATTAGGATATTATTATAGTGTATGGAAACGATTTTTTTTTTGTCACTGACGTTGGGCTTTTTTTTGGGAAAGGTGACATTGTCATTTTTGTTATTTGTATTTTGGTTTTTGTTTTCATCTGCCTTCCAATATATCTACTATTCATTCTACTTATCAATATGTATGTAAGTTTGTATTACTCACTTACTTCGGCATTTCACTATCTCATGCCATTATCTTCAATTCAATTATTTTTTTTGGTTTCATAAATCCTGCAG